GGGGGGGGGGGGGGGGTACCCATAATCCTGCATGCCGTAATCCTTAAACCATTGACCTCGCATCCCTACAAAGCCGGGACGGAGCACGCCGGGTTCTCACCGGACCAGGCTCTCACATCACCAAGCGCGAAGCGCCGTGAGGTATTCGGCGAGTCGCATGAAGGGTGAGCTGCATCCTGCTAAGGGTGTTTGGCATCTTGTGCTTACTTCCTTGCATACGGATGACAGCTGCGTATGACTTACTTTATTTTCTGGTGCGTTCACTTCCAGAGACAGTTATAAGCACTGTGTAACTGCCTCGAGGATGCTTGACCAATTTAACACAACGTGGTGCGATCATCCCCCTTGCGCGGAGTGAGGAGTGAGGAGTGAGGAAGGGGCGGGGGGGGGGGCATTGCGTATCGTAGTCAATGAGAGGTATGATCACGTGTAACTGTATTTACCTGCCTACAGAAAACTTGTTTGGTGACGGCGTTCCGATAAGTGTCCCTTGAACAAACAGCAATGACGTTGCATCTTATCGAAGCAATCAAATCCTGATCCACATGCGGATTAGACGGGACAAGCAAACGAGCATTCGCCCATTCAACGGAAACGTTGCGACCACAGAGGAAAGCTGCGACGAAAAGATTCAAACGCCGAATTTTTAAAATATTTTTCAACTCTACTGTTGTTTCCAGTTTCAACCGTTGTTGTCCCAATTTCCTCGGGGGTCGAAAAGTTCAGTGGATGGGTGAGATGTCCGTTTGCCCTTCAAGACTTGACCTCGAATCTGGATATCTTTTAGGAACTGATATCTTCGATATCCCGGGGGCTGTATTCCATTTCTCCTTTCGTTTCTCGGGAAATATATTGTCTGTTAGGGAGGAATCAGTAACCAGGCCCACTCGAATGATGAATAACGCATCGATGGGTGCAGAATGTGACTGTCTTCGTGACAAAATCCTTGGACTAGACTACTTGTCCCGACACGTTCTTGTATTTCACCACTGATCGAACCACCGCCTTGCACAACAACCTCTGGCAGGCGAGCTTCATGGCAGTGCTGCTGTGGTTAACCATGGTCACGTCGTCGCATGCGCAAGAAAGTTTCTAAACTTCGGGAGCATGCCCCGCCGTTCAACCTGAGAGTAACCGCCTTGAAAGACGGCATGCCCATTGCCGATCACAGCTATCGTATCACTCGTCATCACACTGACATAACACGATTAACAAGACGGTTCCACCCTAGGTGCGACGCTCTTTTCCAACTTCGCTTCACAACCTCGGCGACCCACGCCAACGGTTTCACGCCTACACCTCACACCTACGACCTGCATCCGCGGAAACGTCCCTGTACGACAGGCACCACATCTCCAAACCACATGCACCAAAACTCCAGTATGCGGTTCATCACGTTGAATAAGAACATCCTCTACTTTGTAACCTCAAGCCTCGAGTCTCAAGTGATTTACCCTTGGGGTTGAAAAGCCTCGGAGCGTGTTCAGTCGCCCAGTCGGACAGTAGATCCGGCGAAGACGAGCTAGCTGTATCGAGCAGCGCTAGCCACACGGCGGCTTCCCGAGACGCGTCCACGAAGTTCTCTAGCAACTGCCGCACAATCGATACATCTTTCATATTGGGCCAAGAGGGTCCCATCGAGACCACAAAGGGGGGTGGGGGGGGCGGGGTGTGTCATTGTTGCCTGACACGGGTGTATGTGTGTACAAGGGGGGTCATGACACGACAGGCTAACGACGGTGAAAAAAATCCAAGGGATATCTGGCAAACAGCCGCCAAAAAGGACAAACTGCACCGGAAGCCGCATTTGGATTAATCATTTGGACGAATCAATACCAGACTTCAATGTTGCCGAAAAATACCACAAAAACAATTGAAACAGAAAAACCGAATGTACGTGGCTTTACGGGAAAGCGCTTCGTTCTACCAGGGCTGTCACTCTCGTCGCACTAAATTATCTAGGCGGGAAAAGTATTGGAAACAAACCAAAGACGTGGTACGGAACAACGACGAAACGACATGCCACGCCATATGGTACGTACGTAAATTAGCGAACGAACACCGCGATGACCAATAACTACGACAAAAAAAGGTGAGAGGATTGCTTGACAGACACAACAGAAGAGGTGCTCACCGATGGCAGGACTCATGACAACAAAGGGAAACAACAGCTCGGGTGGTGGTTTTGGCTTCGGAACTGCTTTGCCGCTCTTCGCGGCCAGGGCGCGTCTGTCTTTTCCCTCGGCTGCGGCTGGAGGAGGGCGGTTCTGGAGAACGTTCTTAACGGCGGGGAGGCTGTTCTCCGGAGAGGTGCTCGGACCTGTGAGCAGGCACGTGCCGTCCCCTGTGATTAAAAGGTGGGCAAGGAGCAAGGGAGAGAGAGAGGGGGGGGGGGAGAGAGACAACATAGAGAGTCAGAGAGACAGACAGAGTCAGAGGGACAGAGGGACAGACAGAGAGAGACAGAGAGAGACAGAGAGGCAGAGAGACCGCCAGACAGCCAGCCAGTCAGCTAGCCAGCCAGCCAGCCAGCCAGATAGGCAGACAGAGAAAAAGAGTGAGATATACAGAGAGACAGCAAGATCTTGAATCTTTTCAACAACCACGCCAACAACCTTATGTGCTAAGGGCCGTGTCAGGAAACACGTCCGCAACCGTTTCAATCAGCGACAGGGGCGATACTCGTGTCAACGATAAAACACCTGACAAGCGAGGAAGGTCATCAACGAAAACATTGACGACCAACCAAATTATTCAGCACCGCCGGCACCCACCTAACCCGTCGTCTGCCAAAACCATGTACTCCAGGAAAAACAAAACAGCGCCTTCGAGCACAGGCACAACGGACGCCAGCAGCACAGGTACGTCTCTGCCGGGAGCAACAGGGTGCAAGGACGGGACGCGGAGTGGTTGGGATCGGGCGCGGTAGCTCTCATGAGAGGAAATCTTTCCGGGCATTGCGCTCATGAGCGGTTTGGGGGGGTTGACCTTGTCGTCTCCACCTACCATGACCATTTCAGCAGCCCCGACGTGTAAAAACGCCGAGGACCAACAGACACAACCAGCGGCGATGCTCCAAGATGTTGTTCATCGCAACGTTGTGGCGGCCCCGCAGGACTCCTTAGGCCCGCCTGACCAATCAGGTGGTTCTGCTTCACCTGGTGTACTCGTACGCCTCCCAGAGGTGGAGGGCCATCCATGCGCCGCACGTGGGACACAGGGCCCAGACCGCGTCACCGTGAGCGGCCGTCCCCCCCCACCTATCCGTGTTGGCGTGGGAAACCCAGCCTCCGGCACGGTAGTAGCTGGAAAAAAAATATATATATATTGGCAGTAACACAATGAACGACGAAAACGACGATAGCGGACGCGAAGGTTGGGGGGAAAACCCGCGGCTGTCAACGAAGCGTCGTGAAGGGTAAGGTTTCTCTGATCACGGAGAACGTAAAGTGTTCAACAACGGTGTGCCGTGTTAGAATACCAACTTCACATTGGCCATGTCTAGTCTTACCACGTGTGTGGTTTGCTTCCTTGACAAATCTTGTCTCAACAGAGACAGCAACACGAAACAGGACGTGCGTGTCAAACCCCTTTGGAAGCCAAAGCCCTTCGTACTCTGAGTTGCAACACCACCACAACAGGGCGTAGAGCACTGAAACATTTGTCGACGACAGGGAGTCTTGTTCCTTGCCATGGGTGTGCTTTGTCGCTTGCCATTGTTGGCCAAGGGAAGGGCCTATACGCAGGGAGTCATGACAACATAACTCAACAGCCCAAAGTAGAGAAGCTCCGAGAGAGCCCGGTACTCCCTACCTGTGCGCCGTTTGCCTCCCACCGTCGCTCAGCGCCTCTACAAAAGGAACGAGGGGTGCGGCGCACTCTGGTAGCCCCGCCGTGTGTGCGCCCCAGTAGTTCATCTGGAAGAGGCATGCGCGGAGAGGGTGGGTGGGTGGATAGGCTTCCGACACAACGTTCCTAGATGATGCATAACCTAGTAGCCCTGAGCCTGTACTCTTTTCAGATGCGAGGTGGGAGGGGATTACCGGTACGCCTGCAAGAACTTTTTGGGGGTTGCCTGGACACGACCATTCTGCCACTGCTGCTGTCGATTGTCACAGGCTGGGCACGGTGTTACCATCGACAAACAAAGCGGAGGGAGTCTACACGGTAGCAAACAAAAGCCAGCACAATCGCGATCCTAACACACGCTTTTATAATGAGCAAGGAGCGCATATTTCTTTCTTATTTCGCGCCCGGAGGGTTGTTTCCTCGCCTCTCTTGCATGGCCAAACCCACCGCATAAAACGCGTCACTCTCTTCCGAGGTGCCACAAGACAGAGAGAGAGGTTGATCAATCACAGTCACCACCACCTCATGCTGTAAGGGTTGCTGTGCAAACTACTTGTGACGCAAAGGATGAGTCATGATTCACTCATGCGGCACCTGCAAGTTGATGTTCATGTGGTAGTCCCCTTCCCACTTGGCCTGTAGAGAGTTCGCCCAGATCCCTTGTAGGTTAAGAGGCCTTCCCCCCGGACGGCTACCGCTGATCATGAGGTACCTTCGCACGTTGGCGAGGGTCGCGAGGGGAAAAAACACGCCGATGAGGAGGCAGAGAGAGAGAGAGACAGAGAAACAGACAGAGACGGAGACAGAGAGACAGAGAACAGAGAGAAGACAGACAGAGAGAGAGAGACAGAAGGAGAGAGAGAGAGAGAGAGAGAGAGAGAGAGAGAGAGAGAGAGAGAGAGAGAGAAAGAGAGAGAGAGAGAGATTTTCGAGAGGGGAGGGCGAAGGGTTACGACAGCTACACATACTGGCACTACGGCAGGGACGAGTGTCTCACTATCCACACCGGGAGCTATCTGAATGACTGCATCTGCCGCTGAAGAACAAGCTGCGCATGCAAACCAAAGCGCGCTCGCCGTCTCGGTGGAAGAGGAAAAAACAGGAACAGAAGTCGGAACCATGGTTGGTTCGCGCGTAACAAGACCAATGATCCACGTTGGCAACAACTGAAGGAAAAGCGGATAAATCTTCGCGAAAGGGAAGAGGCGTCTACATTGACAGTCTACGCATCACGACCCATGTAGAAAGAGCGACAATAAAACACGAAACAGCACAAACACGTGTAGTTAGTGCGGAAATGCGTGAGACCGAACGTGACAACATCGACGTTTTTCCTCTTGTGCACTCTCGAGGGCGGGGAGCGGCCACCACCACAGAAAAACATTGCGCACCCACACACACAGCCGGCCACCAAACACGCCTACACTGACCTGCCGTAGTGGTACATGAGCTCCACCAGACCGTCATCCACAATCGTTCGCTCGGCCAGCCCTCCCCCCCCTCCGTTGTCCGGCCCCTGTCCCGTGATGCCCGCACCCTCCCCTCCTTTCTCAGTACACGCCTTCCCCGACCTCGCAACCCTGGTTCTGATTGGCAGACCAGCGACGCAAGACCTTGAAGGTGAAATCGACTCCCGGTCTCCCACCCCACTGTCTCCACCGTTCAATCTTCTCTCCCCGCCAGCAGCACCACCGCCAGGAACGCTGGGGCCAAGAGAGAAGTGGACACGGTCGAACAGCCCCTCCACGTCTTCGACGTGCCGCCTCCTGAGCTCCTCGAAACCCAACCCGGCCGCCGCTTCCACCCTGGCTAGGCATCGCCGTCGCAGGCCCTCCGTCTCATCATCGCCATCATCATCTCGCGCTTTCTCCTCGGTCACGACCGAAACTAACATCATAGCCTCGCTGCTCGCCTCGGCAGCGGAGAGAGCGATCCGGTGTCTTGGGGTCGGGTTCCGGGTGGGTGGTGCCTGCCCGGCATTCCCTTGTGAGGGCCCCCCGCGGGAGGGACCTTCTGCCAGCCTCGCCATCATGCCCGCGTTTCGCGCCGGGGGGCCGCCGGGAGCATCGGCCAGTCTCGCCATCATGAGCTTTTCCTCGGGAGTCTGTGGGACGGATGGGGGGAGCAAGGGGAGATTGAGTCCATGTCCTGCCTTCATGAGACTTGCAAAAGAGGATCCTTGGCGATGTCTGCACGACGGGCTGAAAGGAAAAACTGGGCGCCATTGCTGGCTGGCTTTCCGACAAGCCAACAAAGAGATTCGGGGAAATTGTGACCTGACGCTGTGCTGAAGGAGCCCCGCTCAGACAAGTGCATAGCACCGGTCGGGAAAGCGAAAACAAGTGTTCCATTGTTTGGGGGCAGCTGTCGAACCATACCGTCATCTCAAAACAAATCAAAGCGACGCTACACTATCGGAGCATTTCCCCCCTACTTTCCACTAGAGAATCCCCCATGTTTCGTTTGAGGGAACGGGTCTTCAGCACCAACGGCAGAACAACGCAGCAGCCGACCACTCGACGACGAGACTCGAAAAGACGACAGCACTTCAACTCAAGCACGAGTACACAGCATGGGGTGCGGACCTACCTCCTTGTCACCAGCAGGTCCTTCGGGACGATGTCGCTCACGCGGCGAACTCGGATCGACGTATTCCTCCGTGACGACCCCCGACCCCTCCCCGACCGACGGAAACACCGCCACACACACGTGGAAACCCATCTCGGCTTTCTCGCCGTTCCTCCCGGAGGGCCGGTAAAGACCGACGTAAGCGCCTGCGCCCCAGCCTACCGTGTCCCCGCCGGCGCCTCCGTTTTCGTGGCGTTGAGCTCGCGGGGGGGGCGGCGGGGGGAGTCGACCCGCCGTGGTAAAGTGCGATTTTCCTTGCCGTTTCGGCGTCGCCACGAGGCTGTGTACGGGTGCACGGCCGCGCGAATTGAGGGGGGGGATGAGGGAGTGTTTGCGTCCGAAAACACATCAGATCTCATCGCTGCATGGATCAATGTTTCCCGCCGCATGTCGCTTTGATGACTTAATCGTTTGTTGGGTGTGTCTCTGCTCACGGGATCTCTCTGTACAAACAAGAGAGGGATAGACGCCGAGCGCTTCATGTGTCTGTTTTCAACAGCCAACCCCGGCGTATTTCCTCTCTGCGAAACAAAATAATGTTCTCACTCGCATAAGCCGTTTGCTTCCTCGCGTGCACCCCACCGGCCAGCGTGCCCCCGACCCCTCACCCCGCAGCTTCGAAGACAATAGCGAAAACACCAAGCAAGGCCCTAACCCGACAAAACTCTTCCCCTTCCCCTCAAGTCCACCAGTCTGTACCACACGCACGCAGCACCCAAGAAGGCAGATGCGTGTCGCACGTGCTTACCTCAAGCAGCCTCTCCCGCTCTCCTCCTCCTTGCAGCTCAGGCGCATCGCCAGCACACCGTCCACGTTGCTGGCAAACGCCTCCCTGTGGTGCACCAAGCGGCGCTCGCGCTGGCCTCTGCTCGCGCCAAAGCCGAGGCCGAGGCCGAACCCGCCGCTGTCAGGCGGACCCTTGGAGCTGAATGTGGCCTCCGCTAAAAAAAACAAGACAACGGAGACGGGGAAAACCGATGGGTGACAGCTTGCTGCAAGAACGCTTCCGGCTGGGAAAAAAATGTGCCCGGCACAGGGACGTTATGTGTGAGACAGCGGGGTTTGGGTGAAGAAAATAGTCGAAAACAACACGGGGGGGGGGGGGGTCACAATGGCCGGGTTCGCTTGAATCCAAGGTCAGGGAGGACAAGCCGAACTATCGAAGGCCAAAAATGGCGACTAGCGAAGGGAGAAAAAATTACGCCATACACGAAAGACACGTTCTCGTTGGACCAAAACCACGCCGGCGTCACAAAAAAAGGCAAGACAGCAGTGACGAATATAGTAGCCGTGAGTGAAAATCCTCGACTTCACCACCAAACAGAAACGACAGCGGGTGGTGTACACTTCGATGAGCAGCGGCTATCTACGGCTGAGAAGACAGGTTCCGGTGACGAGGGGGTAAAACACCAATACCAATACGCAGAACGAGTGTTGGCTGGACTGCAAGAAAACAATGCACGAAAACGAAAAACAAAAAAGGCAAGCACCACAGAGGCAAGGTGAGAAAAACAAAAACAAAAAAAAGTGTCGGTGCTACGTTCTTCCTTTGTGACCCCGGCTGATCAATCAAGTATACCGAACGGAGCAAACTGGCGCCAAGACTGGATTAGATTAGACTAGATTAGATTAGATTAGATTAGATGGGACGAAAACACACATACGACACACGACACACGACACTCACCGGTGCCGTTGTTGAGGTGCAGGTGGCGAATGTACCCGTCGACGGGCCCCTCCTCCCGCTCCCCTCCCGCCTGCTGGCCGCCGCCTTCGCCGAACTCCAAGTGCAGTTCCCCCGCATACTCGAAAGACCCCACGAAGCCTTCTGGGCTGGTGGGCATGCGGCCCGCAGCCTCCTGGGCAGCGTGAACATCTCCATCAAGGAGCGATTCCCGTGCACTCCGAAACTTGTCATACCTTTGGAAGCGGACACAAACAAGGGGGGGGGCGTAGTGAGGTTTTGGGGGCAGCACGGCGGCACAAGACAAGACCAGACCGTGGCGCCCGGCACGGTATTGAGGTGGCGTCGGCGCTGCGCTGGGAATGTCTACTGCAGGTGGGGCGGCGGTGGTTATGAACTACCAGGCGCCGCTTGGTCATGGCGATCCGCGGCTGTGTCGCGGCAACGTTGCCTACCTGACTAGCGGCCAGTACCAAGAGCAGAAAGGGCACCCAACGTGGAATAAAACCGTAAGGAAACACCGTAAAAGGAATCGGAAACGAAAGAGAACGGCCGGGGATAGTTGGGCCGTTCGCTCGGAGGGATGCAACGACACCCGGCCAGGTGCCTTGAACGCTTGAGCTGCTGGCTGGTGCTTTCGAGATTCGTGGGGCTACACGCTATGCGGTCCTTTTCCACATCATGACCGCGTCCGGCACACCACAACATTCACCAAGCTTATGACGCATGTGACAATGAACGAACGGTGACAAAAGAGTCGTAAAACAGACGACACACCTGGAGCGAACTGTGTTAGCAACGTTCAGGGCGGGAAAAACGGCGTTCTGAATCGAACCAATACCACTACCACGGCACAAGCGCAAAGAGCAGGACGCCACCATTATTTAGCGAAAAGCACTATGTGCAAGTACATGGCAAATGGTAAGAGGCAAAAAAGCGGCGGCATTCTGCGCAAACACGGGTATGGCTAAATACGTAGACGGGAACTGTTGTTTCGAATGACAAATCTAGCACGTCATACCCAAGTCATGTATGTAAGGTGCAAGGTGTATGTGTGTATGTATAGGCTGCCGTGTAGTTGCCCACCTGTCCGGAGACAGCGGGAAACCCGAGGTAGCCCCGCCTGCCTTAAGTTTTCCCTTTCCTGCCCACAGACTGCCATGGCTCATGAACATGGTGTCCTAAGTTTGGTTCAGAGGCGAGCACAGCAAAATGTGATAGGGAGAAAAGCACGCACAAACACCAGAGGAAGGTGAACTTTTCATACCCATCATGCTCCGAGAGATTGTCGCCTAAATAGCGTTTCCTGCGCTGTCATTCACCCAAGGATAGAGGATAGAGATAATAGAGACAATTTGCTCCATGCAAGATTGAAAAACTCTCCAGCACGATACATACGACTATAGTATGTACTCGACGCAAGGCAGACCCGGCACGGCGACAGTGAAAAGGAAGTGATGCAGTGGTGAAGTGATGACATGAAAAGGAAGCGATGAAGTGATGCATGGCATGTCCGACACAACGTCCGTGTCAGCTAGCTACTTTAGCTGTGAGGGGAGACAAGAGTGGCTACCGTTTTGTGTATGGTACGTGAGATTGTGCTAGAAAGCTCCAAATGGCGACCTGGGAGAAATAACTGCCGACGTAGTACAATAGATGCTCGGGAGCATCGAAAAAAACATTCGAGGAGTTGGATGCGGAGGTTTGGGACGTGTGAGATGGGTAACAATAACATTTTCAACACATAGGGGAGTCAACGAAAGGAGGGAGGGATGGAGGGAGAGCGAGAATGTAGCTTGCTCTTTCTGTCTACCTCCTTCTGTCTTCCTCCTCTCTGTCTCTCTTTCTCCCTGTCTGCCTCCCTGCCTGCCTCTCTCTCTCTCTATCTCTATCTCTGTTGCTCTCTCTCCTTCATCAATAGTTCTTCGTTATCGCACCTTAAACGTCCCCATGCCCAACATCGCCCCAAGATACCCGTTGCCCAGGGCGTAGCTCGTCGTCCAATCTGCACCAGGCTCGTCATCCCAAACGTCAAGGGCATGGACACCTATAGTAAAATAGCAGAACGGATCACAAAGAACGGCAGATATGCAAATGATTGTCCTGAGGGGTGTGTGTGGGGGGGGAGGGAGACCTGCTCCTCTCCTCCAGCGCTCTTAAGGGGCACGTCGGGATTGATTCATGTACGAGAAAATCGTCTGGCTTCGCGAGAGGAAGTCAACAACCACTTGTGGTGCAAATCGACCTCTAAATCAGCGCATGCGTCGATTGGGTCCAAAGATATCTCGAAGAACCCCTCATGTATTGGACATCTGTGGCTTGCCGTCTGGACCTGTGCAGGTTACACAGGGTCACTTGCCTGGTAGAGGTCACTGGTAGAGTTAGGCCACGACAGTTCTCACGTGAGGACAACAGCACAACACTATGTAACATTCGACTACGACAATGGCCACAACCACGACGATGACGACAACAACTTTCAACTATGGCAACGAAGACAACAGAAGCAACAACAGCAGCAACAATAGCAGCGACACCATTCAACGATTACCACGACGATGCCAGCAACACACGTGTTGCCCCCAATGGAAAAATTACCATTTTTATTTTATTTTGCAGACATTACAAATCCTGGAATCACAACCCCTGGCGGTCCCTCCGCATGGAGTTTTGAGTTATTCTGCTCTACCTCTCGCTGTGGTGCTGATCCCTAATCGTGTACATCCGATATGCCTTGCTCACACATATAGACGCCCACACCCCGATTTCTGTCAGGTTTGGTTAAGGTTAGGTGTTCAGCAAACGACGTTGAAAGTTCGGTGCGTGCTTCCAGGCTTGGATTTCTAGTTCGAAGTATGATGTTTTCGGAGGTAGACGCATGATCGCTGTTGACGCATATCTGCTGACCACGCTGCTGACTACTTGAGCATAAACTTGAATTTGGGCCGACTTTCGCAGGCCAACTGCGCTCCCTGCAGTGCTGATCCCCAATCGCGCACATCATAACATCGTTCTATGGTCTTTGATCTCCACTGTGGCCAAGTATCGGCGGAATCGGGGGACTGCAGTGTTTCAGCAATCCTAGGTGAAAGTTGGCTCACACGAGCTGAAAAGGTTGCGCGCAGCAGCAGAAAGCTGGTTCAACTCAGATGTGATCGTGAGGCATTTCTCACATCCAAAGCAAAATTAAATGGTGAAAACTGCTTTCCGATGGAGGGTATGACCTGCGTGAGGTGCCTGTGTACTTTGGTGGCACGCCGAGGTCTGTGTGAGGAGCACGCGGTGGTGAAAGGACTGGGCTCAGCCATGTCCAATCTGGGGAGGGGATGAAACAAAATTGACCCCGCTGAAACCGTCGGCGTGATTTTTTGTCTGTACTTTTTTCAATTTTGTGTAGGGGGCAACACGTGTGGCAACAACGACACGCACCGGCGGGAGGCTCCGCGGCAGCGTCAGGGCAGCACTGCACCGGCGGCGGGGGGGGTTCCTTGCCGTACCTTGGCTTCGGAATGGTCTTATCTTCCTCATCTCTGACGACGCCTGTCACAGGACACAAGCAGGGGACGTATGGGGATATGGAATGGCGGGTGCTACGGGCCAGGGTCGGTTTCTTGCTGGATAGACACGAGCAGACGCCAAGCATGCTACATAGGAGTGTCACAGTAGACACTTCCTTGTAACCCCCCTCCCTCCCGCAAATCTAACAAGATGCAAAAATCTAAGGAATTATTTTCTTGCGTGCAGCCTTGGGTAGTTTGTACATGAAAATCGGTATCTGAATTTGGGACCGGACCCACACGGTGCTGTCTCCGTTGGACGGGATGGTCCAAGAACTGGGACGAGTGTGGGACGAAAACCTGTTGAACACTCGCTCGAAATCGGACAAAGTCATGCTACAATACACAGCTAGACTGACAACAGTGCCAAACGTGCCCGCTGCCTACCTGTCCGATAGAGCAATAAACGTCTTTGCAGTGTTGCTACGTGTCGCACTGCACGGATCACCGACCGGCGGCAAGCCGCCTTTCGCATTTCGACTTTTGCATTCCACCACAAGCAGCACGAACACGCAGATTGATTGGGGGATACACACCTGATCTCAACCCTGGGACACCTTCGTTTCGCGTGCCCCCCGCGTCCTTAAGCCAGCAGATCATCTCCTTCAACTGCAGGGTCCACTTGAGGCAGCGCCCGTCCCTCACGCAGAGCGATCGACATTCCTTTAAACACGCAAAACAAATAGAATCGGTCATCAGCAATGCCAAGATGGCATGCGAGACAGAGAGCGAACAACTCCGGGGTAAGGCGTAAGGAACTAGGACCCGGGCCAACCAGGACAGTCACATCCACGAAAGATTTTCGAGCGCGCGCTGGTTCTTGTGGCCACGGGGGCTAGCTAGGCAGACACAACGACCGATGATAGTTCTAACTGATGCTATAGACTCTCCCACTTGTATTGTTCCTCCCCGCCTCATCCATAGCTCCGACCCCCGAACAACCGCAGACGCTTTGGCCTATGACCGGGCACGCTGGGGTTATGGCGGGGGGCGGGGGGGGGGGGGGGGGGAGGCGCAGCTGCACACCCAGCAGAGGATCCAGCAACGGAATACGAACAACAGTCAAAGGCACGCTTCGACAAGGCGTTATTAAGGGTGGCGTATTTCACGATATCCGAAACGAAAAGAAACCGCGAGAGTCTCACACACCTTCTCGTCCTCGACGTTCAAAGGCCCGACTCCTTGTATGTCTCCTCCCTTGTAGTCGACGCTGTGGTAGACGCTTTTCAGCAGCGTAGTTTTTTTTCCTGTCGCCGTGGACGGCCTCTCCTTGGGTGTCTGAATCGAAGGGAGGGGGGGCGGGCGTTGCAGAGGGGGTGGTTGTCGAACTCCTTGGTCTACGTTCACCTCGTCCCCGCCAGCCGCGTCGCCGCCGCCACCGCCGCCTTCTGAAGGCAGAGAGATCCTCCCTCCACCCTCTCCCATGCCCCTTACCCCTCCCCTGTATTCTTGCGGGGCCACCTCGACAGGACGCTTCTCGTCGACGTTTTCTCGTGGTAGGCGCGTCAACTGGATCACCTGCACAAGTATTGTAGGGCGTACAAGTCTTGTGTGCAATTCACCCGCGCAATGTATCAGAAAAGCTGTCTGGGAACATCCTTGGTCGATCTTGGAATTTGGGGACCCAAAAATCCATTGGAGCTCGACCTTTAGGAGTGCAAACACTGCGGCAAACAAGGCCGGCCGATAGTTGCTTGTTATGGAATAGGTATACTTCACGTTTCGTGGAGCCAAAACTGTATCACTCATGGGATCCCATTCGTCAAAACACAATAAATCGGCAATGAACGATCACGCCAGCACTGGCTATGACGCGCTGAGATACCCAGCAGTCAGTGGCCACAAAAGAGGTGCCTAGTTTGGCGACAGGCCCACTCACCAACCCTGCCCAGAAGCTGAGGAGGACCAGTACTCCTGCGGAGACAATCCAGACAAGCGGGGACCCGTTGCGAGACCGCCTTCCTCCAGAGGTACGTCTACCGCAAAACAGGGCCGAGTCAAAGAGAGGGGAGATACCGAAGACACGAGAGGGATGTATGGGTGTTTTTGAGCATATGTGAGGCGGTGTGGATCGAGCGAGAGTAAGCACGCCGCCGATGCTTCCCAAGATCTGCGCCAACTTCGACGTCCGACCATCGTTGTCGTCCGCAACGCATCGCGCGCACGGGGTCTATTCCAGGGTTTATATCTGTCAAGACTACATAGTCTTTGGTTGTACGAGCCTACTTTCAGGACACATTTGTGCGGCGCAGTACGAACACGCCCCCGTCTACCCAGCCTGGTAGTTTCTCATTTCTTGCAAATGGTTGTCTCTAACCAAAGAGTACAAGGTTGGTTACACTTTGCCGGCTTCACGAGCGAAGCGAGGTTTCCAACCCCCGAACGACGCCCAGAAAATTCCGGTCGCTCTGCGTGTAGCCTCTGTCGTGGCAAGAACAGCGTGCGCCGTCCACAGGATCTACGATGAAAAATCTCCCAGCACACACGCGTACACAGAACCCACGCGCGAACCAACGGACCACAAAACCTCCATCGGGCGCGGAGCAATTCCCCGAGAGAACGTCAAGACTGTAGGCTATGGAAGATAGAATCTCCGCAAACACACTCTTGCTACAGTAGTAAGCGGTGCACCTCGCCAACAGGGTGGTTATTTCGGACGAGGATGAGGCGGTTCGAGGCAGAACATGCGGGGGATTTGGTACAAAGTGTCTCTTTTGCATGCAAGGGAGGCGCTGGAGATACGAGTACTGCGCAGAGCATACGTCTAGCCTACTCAACATTTGCACCGAGTTTGCATTGTTTTTGGCCAAAGGGGTCAAACACCACAGATACCTGCATATTTGTAGCTGCAGACGCCATTGCACACACTAGCTTCTATGGACACAATCACACCTGCTCTAACCGGACATAAATTGCGCAAGATACCACCCTCCCTGAACGGAAGTCAACTCTGTATATTACTCCACGACGATGAGGCTGCTGGAACTAAATCATACGTTTTCGGAAAGCTCTTAATCCGGCGGTACCAACACCGCCATTCTCGCCACCGTCACTGTTTCTGCTGCCGGTTATCCTCCATAGCTTTGAAAATCCGACCAGGGGGTGTGGTACCTTACGCAACACAACAGTGTCAACCCTCGTGAGCGTGCAAGCGTATCATAAGGCGCTATTTGGTTGTGCAATCAGCGTATGCTCCACTGCCTCACCGAAGATGTCGACGCCGTCTCGCATATCCTCTTCCCATCCTGCGATCCATCCTCTTCTCTACCCATTCCCTGCGAGGAACGCGGCCGGCTGTGGTGCGGAGTTTGTTGCGGTGTAATTATGGCGGAGGGGGGGACGCATTTTCACTTGATTGTACCCCCGCCGTCTATTGCCCCCCCTGCCCCACTTTTACAATACACATGAATTGCCAAATTGTAGCCGGCGGGCCAGATTTGCTCAACCCGATCTGCTCTGCAGTGACCAATGAGGAGAGCTTCATTGCAAGTCTGGTGCGACGGACACATCCGGCAGTCGATGGATTCGTTGTGTCATGATTGTCGAAGTATTATTGCTGTATTTAGTCTAATTATATATGTCGCCGAAGAATGATCGATGACCGCGGGGGTACATAGTCTACCCCAAAAAAATGCCTCACGGCCAACTTGTCACAGCAGTCCACAGCTGACAGCCTGCAGCCAACACCACTGCTGAGGAGATACGGCTTGTGGCGAACCTGTGCCATAGGTTACTTGCGGGGTGAGTTTTGGTGTGTCTGTGAGGTTTGTTCGTTGCAACAATAAGCAACAACGAATGAATCTACAAGCTACCACCAACGGTTCTCGGCACTTCCCTACCTACCTGCACAACAAACCATACGCACCCACCCCGTTTAGATTTCAGCCAGGGTATGCAGCGTCGATTCAGGTATGCATATAGTACCTCGATCATCAACCAAGACGCCATGACTGCTACAGTTTAACAGCATTAGAGTACAGCAGCAGTGCACCAGCTTGAAGAGCAAGCGCTGGGGGGCTGCGCTGGGGGGGCTGATGATTATTATGTATGTGTGTGGGTGTGTGGCACAAGTAAAAAATATATATATAGTCTATTCTAGTTTGGCCGCGTCATCTACATGACTATTGTTATGATTCACGCGCTGCATGATGAACACGCCGGGGGCAAACGGATCGGCGAGGAACCGCCACCCACACAAGCCAGCTAGACTGAGTGTGCAACGCCGTGAGCTGTGACCGCGACTCACACCCTCCGCTGCTCTGCTGGACAGACCACCTCCTGGCTACCTGTGCCTCTACTCTCTCTCGTTTTGTGTTGGCGTGCCCCCGTTCGCTGCCGCCGAGTTTTAGAAATGAAATCGCACATGGTGCCGCGGTGCTTTGAAATTCTACCCACGCAGCGGTGTTGTTATTATTGTTGTTGTTGTGGGTGGTGTTGTTGCCGTTGTTGTGTCTTCACATTAAAAACCGTTCCGGTTCCCCCTCAGTTACTGTCTGTTGTTGTTGTTGTCTTCCGTTCCGTTCTCTCTGCTCAGTACCTTCTTCTGTCTGTACGAGTCTAACACTTGACGGGGTCGATTTCCGTTGTCACAGGCTAACTTACCCAAAAAAAGTTATACGAAAATAAAATGGACCCGAAGGGTCCGCAAGCCAATAAAAGTCAACGACAGATAGTCTAGGCTATTCCGCTCGCCTCTCTGCGCGCTATGCGAGGTAGACTAACCCTATTGGAAAAAGATAGAAACAGTAAAAAGAAAGAGAAAGAGAAAGGGAAAAAGAAAAAGAAAAAGAAAACGAAACCGTAGACATACAGGTACTTTCTGACGCTATGAATTCATTGCTAATCTGTCTCAGACTCTATGATAGAGATGGATTCGTTGTGTCATATTAAGAAAAAAAATAAAAAATAAACCAAACTGTCTTCTTGTCTTGTTGAGGCTGTTACCCACAGGGAAGATCTCTCTGTGTGCTGCTCGGGAAATCGTAGAAATACAGGTAGCCTTCCCCTGACGCTATGGATCCATTGCTAATCTATCTTAGACTATGTTCTCAGATAGAGATGGATGGATTCGTTGTGTCATAATAAGAAAAAAAAAAGGAATAGAAGATAGAGCAGATGGAGAGAAGCAAAGGGAACGAGAAAGACACAGACAGAGACAGACACACGTCTTAGCGACAAACAACAAACAAACAAACAGAACACAAAACAACACAAGGCCAAGCGGGCCACTCGAGCCAGCCCATGCACGTCATCGCTCGCGGGGGGTTGGTGCAATGGTGCAGTGCTGGGGGCGGGAGGGAGATAAGTCAAGCAAGAGGTTCATTTCGGCACGGTGTTTCGCGCCACTCGGTCCGCCTCTTCGCGTTTCCTGCCTTTCCTCGCCGTCTCGTCCGCCTGCTGTACCCCTCCCACCCCCGTGGTTGTTGCCGTGTCCGTGTTGTTGTCGGGCTTCTTGTTTCGTTTGAGCGCTCGTTGTCGGCTAGCCTCCTCTTCCTTCTTATGCCAGGAGGCCATGAACCTCTTAGCTCCCTGCAGTACCCCTGTATGCCACCGTACCCCCCGGTCCACCTTCTTCGCTGCTTCCATCCAAGTTGTTTCCGGGACTCCGAAGAAGCATGGCTCGGCGTCCGTAGATCCGTGCTCTCCTTCGAACATCTTGAGGTCGTCCTTCAGGTACATCTGCCAGTTTTGCTCCGGTTTCCCCCTGCCTGGGCCCTCCCCCCCCACCAGTTCGCCAAGCATCACCCGTTTCGGGAGTCGTCCGTCTGGCTGCCTTACCAGCGCTCCCGCGAACAGCAGGCGCCGTTGACGGATAGTGGTTTCCACGCTCTGGCACCCTACCCTCTTCAGGGTCTGGGCGTAGGAAAGCTGCCGGTAGGTGCCCTTCTTGCGTTGGTCACCGATAACTCGCAGGAGCAGTCGGTGGTGTATCGTCCGCAACGTCCGGTATTGGTCTTGTCTGTGCAGTCGAAATTATTGTGAAACAAGGGCGATCGACGGCGACGATCGACGGAGCGACGGCGGCGCGATCGAAGAAGGCGGCCCAAGGC